GGGAAGACACGAGCAAACCCTCCTGCCCACGTCTGCGCTCCAGCGGGCGGGGCCTGCATCTGGGCTCCGACGCACTTGGGGTGGGAAACGCCTAGAGAGGTGCAGGTGTCCTTGTTCAGCAGCATCTACTAAATGTCACCTATGTGCCCGGCTGAGGATTTGAGCCCCGATTCTGGAAAGGCCCAGTCTTCGGGGCTCCCTCTGGTCACTCGGCAGTGCCCTCCTTCCTCGTGCAGCTGTGGTTGTCCGTGGCCACAGCCTGAGCCGCGGTCCAGCCAGGGTGGAGGCAGGGCAGGGGAGGGCCAGGCCTCCGCCGGGTGCACGCTCGCCGTGGGGACCCCGGGGAGCACCCCCTGGACCGGGGCGCTGCAGAAGGGTGAGGCCTGCCACAATGCTTCTCTCTGCCAGTGGTCGGAAATCACGCCTTGTCCCAGGGCCCATGGCAGGGACGCTCTCCCCACTCACCCACGCTCTCCTCACTCACCCACATGGGGCTGGGGGCCCTGCCTGCGGTGCCAGGACCCACTCGAGGTCTGAGCCACCCCACGACCGTCCCAGGCGAGTCAGCTCTGCCCTTGTTATGGCTGAATGGTGTCCCCTTGGAATTCTTTGTTGTAGCCCTAACGCCCAGCACCCCAGGATGAGGCTGCGTTAGGAGACAGGACTTTCAAAGAGGTGATCAGGTTAAAACAAGGCCACCTGGTGGGACCTAATCGAGTTGGTGTGTGTCCTTCCAAGTAGAGGAGATGCAGATGTAGATCCACGCAGAGGGAAGGCCGTGTGAGGACACAGGGGGAGGACGGCATCTAGATGTCAAGGACAGAGGCCTTGGGAGCAGCCAGCCTAACGACACTAGATCTGGGACTTTCAGCCTCCAGGACGGGGAGAGAATAAATTTCCTAACTGTTTAAGCCTCCCATCTGGGTGATTTGTTACAGCAACCCTAGAAAATTATTACAGCCCTTGTATCTGTCTTACGGGAAAGATCTTTATTTAAAAAAAAAAATTTTTTTTTTTTTTTAACTCACGTATCTAATAAATGTACGGAGTACCAGCTCTGTTCCAGGTGAACTTTGCTCCCCATGTACGCTGACCTTTCTCACTGCCCTTTAGACATGCAGACCCCTTCCCTTCCTCGGAGACTCTGTACTCAGTGCTTCCTCCAGTCTCTCGCTCTACCTGGATTCTTCTCCATGGCCCAGTGTTCGCAGGAGAAATTCCTACCCCCCTCCCACCGTCTTAGCAAAAGTAGCCCCTCTAGACAATATCACATCCACTTGCTTCCATTCTCCATGGCGGGGACCACTGTTAGAAGTTACTCTTACTTGTTTCTCTGCCGACTGACTTCTCATCTACTGGAGTCTAAAGCCCGTGGAAGTGTCTTGTCCACCGGTGCTTAGCACAGTGAATAGCAGTTGCATGAATGAATGAATGAATGAATGAATGAATGAATGAATGAAGTGAGAGCTTCCCAGAGAACCCTGTGAGGCCCTGGCTGACAAAGGCAGGGTCCTCTAGGCTCACTGGAGGGGCAACTCAGGGGTAGCTCATGACTCAGGCGAGACTCAGACCAGCCCCTTCTCGCTCCTTCCCTACACGGTACTCTCACCTGGGAGGGGCAGGTGTGGGCAGAGGGTCTCCTTCCTGCTGCTTAGGGTGCACTGCATCAACTCTGGGTGTCCTGAGGCTTCCTTTCTGCCCTTCCTCGGGCAGCAGGAAACCTCTTCAGGGGAAGGGAACAAGGTGGTTTCTGCACATAGGTCTAAGTTTTGGGGGGGAGAGGGGGACATGTCTAGCCTGAATGTCTCCCCGTCCAGGAGGGCCTGAGATCCTCATTAGGATGCAGAGGAATTTCGCAAAGTGGGAGGTGGAGATGATGGGGACACGCCGCACTGGGGTTTGGGCAGAGGCTTCTTCTCTATAGAAGAAGCACGTACGGACGTTTATAAATAGAGGGTGTAGCATTTTTATTCAGAAGAAAAATAATGGACCTCATTTTCTAAAGGAACATCTTTTTTGAATCGTCAAGAATTGCTTAAAAAGACACATCTTGGGGGATACCAACCTCCAGACTCATTTAATGTATCCCTGTTAATCCTAACACTTTCAACTAAAAACAAGCAAACATAATTTTTCCTAAGTGTTTCCAGCTGTGAGATGTCAATTTCTACAATTTGGTGACCAGATGTGCTTATATTTAATAAACTCCAAACCTTAAAATGTAAACTTTGAAATATTGCAGTGCGTTTATTTAAAAAAAAAAAAAAAAGCCTTCTGCAGCTATCTGACATTTTAGGAGAGTGACGCGCATCCTTCGTTATTCTGAAGCTAAAAGCTCTTGCTCAGATTGTTGGGGTCTGAAAAAGGTGTGTGGGCTTTGCTCATTCCATTTCCCATTTTTTGGTAATATATAACATTACTCTCCATGTTCTGGAAATGCTGTGATTCACATTTTGTGTTTATTCAAATGTAATGTTAGTTTCTAATATGAATGTGCAATATGTCTGTGACAGAATGCTGTGAGGTTTTCTGTAATAAAATTATAAGAGTAAAAACAGAATGCTGTGAGGTTTTCTGTAATAAAATTGTAAGAGTAAAAACAGAATACAAGTTTTCAGATTTTTTTCTCACTTACTCAGACTTGATTCACAACCGATATATCGTGGGATTTTTTTTGCTTGTTTGTTTTAGTGAGCTCGTTACAAAGCGTATTAATTGTCCTTGGTGGGCAGATGTAAAGAAATTCTTTTATACTTAAATAAAGTTGCTGTGACTGAAAAAACCAGCCCTCCATCTTCAGAAAATATTTATGCATTAATTTGTTACAGAATTATCTAATTATCATAATTGAAGTACCATTTGGGCCAATCTTTCTTTAAGAAATGATGTATGCTTTTTAAATGCCATTACTCTATAAAAGAAAATTGCTCGATATATTTACATCTGGTAGTAGAGTTTTCATCCTTAAAATGTATTCCTATACACAGAAAGCAAGTTTCTGTGCCTACGGCAGGGACCGCAAATGCTAATTCCTTTGTTGTTTTGTTTGTTTGAGACCACTGATTTTTAAGTTATAAATTATTTTAGGCACCGTTGTGGAAGAAAGCGACCATCTACTAAATTATGGCAAAGATGTTAAAATAAAAAAAAAAAAGACGTTTTAGAATAAACAAAAGGACATCACTGTGATTTTAGGCACTGGTATTTTGCCAAAATCGTTGTGTAAATTTTGATTTTTTTAAAGTTCTGCATCATCTATGTGTTCATCTTAGCAATGTGTAAGTGATGTGAGTACCAGGCCAGCTAATGATCTGCGACATGTTTATGTTATAATTCAGGTTTTGAAAAAGAGAGACAGAGACAGAAAGCCAAACAATATAAAACATCATGACTCTAGTTTTTCAAAAGCAAAAGTCATTCCTTCATTCATTTAAGCTGTTGACTTCCTACTATGCGTCAGGCACTGCGGTGAGCTTTGAGAGGCTGGCAGGCAGGCAAAACCCAAAATCACGCAGTGACAGCGGAAATCATAGTGAGATCCTAGACAAGAGCAGAGTAAAAAGTGTGCAAAAAAAAGGAATGAATCTCATTAATTTGAGACATTTTTTCAGATTTTAGCATTTTTGCCATAATTTAGGAGGCAGCATTTTTGTCTTATAACGGTGCCTGAAAAAATCTGCCCCTTAAAATCCACAGCCTCACCAACATAAAAACAACACATTAGTGAGATAGTTAACATATGCATTCAGTTCATTCAAACAGATCTCTTAGGGGGAGAAAAGCCAGGGCACTTTAGACTTCTTTGTGGTAAAAGGGGCAGAAATAAAGAGTCTCGCCAAAAGGCCTGCTTTGAACAGCTGATGGGGGGAGCCCCACACAGGACGCGACGCTTGGGAAGAAAGCTAGGGACACTAGGGAAAGATGCCATCCCAGGAAATAATTTGCAAAACAGATGGCTAGCATTTAAATAGTCTACGGTTTGCAAATGGATGGGTCTCTGGGACCCTGACCATGCTGTGCTGTGTCCATGGCAACCATTCTCTTCCTCAGCGACGCGCGGAGTGGCTGGGCTGTGCGGGTGGGGGGGCGGATTGCGGGAAGCGGCCCCAGCTGATGTTCTGCCCAGCAGAGCATGGGCTGTCCTCCCAAGTACCCCAGGCTGGGGTCGGGGCGCTTCTGCAGCAGGAGTGCATTCCCCGCAATTCTGGGCCCTGGAAAGTCCCAGATCAGGGACGGGGACAGACTGGTCCTGGTGAGGACTCTATTTTGTTACCCTCTGCCTGTGTCCTCACGTGGCGGGGAGAGAAGGGCATCTCTCCTGTCTCTTCTTATGAGGGCACTGATCCCACCGGAAGGGCTCCGCGCTCGTGACCTAATCACCTCCCCAAAGGTCTCACCCCGAATACCGTCACAAACGTGCAGTCCCTAGAAAGCTCCAAGCTCAGGGTCGGTGCTCGGGGAAATGTGAACACCTAACAGGTTCTGGATTTCACTGAAGATGAAAAGTGAACTAACTGAGAGTATGTGCCCAGCAACGGGGTTTATTCTTTCACTGGAGACAAAAATGAGCAGTGGGGGTGGGGCTGCCTCGAGCCTCTTTCATCCTGTAAAGGAAGGCCTACTGTGTGTCAGCTCAGCGTTCCAGTTTCCGGGGTGCTCTGGGCCCCTTCCCCACCCACCCTTCTCCACTCCGCTGCAGTTTCCATGGCGACGGTCTGAGCCTCCCTTTGTTGCTAAGGGCGATAAGCAATCTGGAGAGAGGGAGCAGGCCATTGACTCATCTCACTGAGACTCGGTGGTGGGCACAGGAGGGATGGGGGGGACAGGGATGCAGAAGGGGCTCAGCTCTGCAACCACCCCCGCACTGGTCCAGGCACATCTTTGGGTGCCTTTGAATGGGGTATGCACAAGAACGAAAACACACAGGTGAGGGGCTCTGAGAGTCAGGTAGAAATCATGCGTCTCCTGCAGCCTCTGGTTCCAACAGCATTATCTGTCCTCAGGGTCCATCAGGTCGTCTGTCTGGTAAATACTGATGGAGCTTTTCCGGGTGCCAGGCCCTCATCTGGGGGCAGAGAATAAATGTCAGGCAACCCTGTGCTTTGTTCTCATGGGAGACACGTTCATCTGTTCCCAAAGTTTGGCCCTTGCCTTAAGAAAGATGTCCAGTGTCTTCTGGGAGGCGGGATCGTGCTAGACCTCGGGGTAACGGCAGGGAATACAATGAGCCTCCCTCCCCTGGTGCAAGGGAGACAGACAATGAACAACAGGGTTAACACAACCTCAGAAGTTCACCAGGCCTGTGAAGAAAAACAAAGCGGAGAACTGGAAGGTGTTAATACGGAAGGCAAGGACGGTCTTCGATGCGTGCTAAGGCCGTGGGGCTATCTGAGCAGAAGGCCAAATGGTAAACATGAGACTCTCTGGGGGAGAGAAATCTAGGCAGAGGGAATAGCAGGTCCGGAGGCAAAAACGTACTGTGCGTGTGCAAGGGAGTCCAACGTAGCCACATCATGCAAGGCCTCATAAAACATGGGGCTTTGTTAACAAATTGTTAATATTGATCCTAGTGCTGTTGATGGAGTTTCTCCTATGAGTCAGACCCAGGGCCAGGAGCTGGGTTTACGTGGATGCATCAAAACTGACGCGCGAAGTTATTAGGGGATCCTGATATTAATCAGATCATCAAAAAGCAGACGCCTTTCAAGAATATCGAGCTCGCATTTAGTGCCTTCGCTCGGCTTGTGGTGTCTGCTTGTGCTGGGCATCCACAGACAAGTATCAACCCTGTAAGGTGGATGATATTATCCCAAATTTAGCCATCAGGGGATGGAGGCGCAGAGAGGTTGGACAATCTCTGGAACATTCTGCCGCTAGCCGGCGGCAGGGCTGGGGTTTGAACGGAAGCCATGTGGCTTCCGGACCCATGATGTCACCTGGTAGGGGTGCTCCTTGCAACCATGTTCTAGTCCCAAGTATACAGGGCAGGTACACAGACGGCTGGCTCGACCCCAGGGTTGGAAGACGATGCGCTAACTCGGCGGGGGGACGCCATTGCTGAAGAAAGTGACTGGGGGGAGGGATACCCGGTGTCGAAAGAGAAAGAGTCTGTGATGGGTGGACACGTCATCTTTAGGGAAAATTCTCCAAAGGAAGCCCGTCGTAGCTAGTCCACCAACCACCTTTTGTCAAATTATGGCTTATAAGACGCTGGACCGTGTGTTCAGTATCGTTACTATTGTCTTACGAGGTAGGACCAATTAATATTCCGATTTTACCCATAAGTTCGACTAGCCACGTCTCAGAGAGAGAGATGGAAACACCTGCCCCCAAACCTACATTTTTTCATATTTATTTCTTAAATTGGGGTGAAACGCACGTAACATAAAAGTTGCCATCTTGACCACTTCAAGCGTGCAGTTCAGTGGAGTTAAGTACCATCACCACCATCCGTCCGTAGGACTCTCTTCATCTTGCAAAACTGAAATTGTGTCCCTGTTGCCGCTCCCCCCAGCCCGGGGCCCCCACCATCCTGCGGGCTGTCTCTCCAACTCTGACCACTCCAAGTTCCTCCTATAAGGGGACTCCTAGAGTACTTGGCTTTTTGTGACTGGCTTCTTTCACACATCATCATGTCCTCAGGTTCATCCACACCGTGGCATGTGCCAGAACCTCCTTCCTCCTTTTGGAGGCTGAACGATATCCCACTGTGTGCATACACCCCGTTTTACTTATCCATCACCTGTCAATGGACATTGGGCTGCTCCCACCTTGGGCTACTGTAAATAAGGCTGCATGAACATCGATGTACACATATGTCTTCGAGGCCCTGCTTTCGACTCTTTGGGCAATGTACCTAGAAGCAAAGTTGATGGATCCTAATTCCACGCTTGGTTTTTTTGAGGAACCGCAAGACCGCTCTCCACACCAGTTGCACCATTTTGTGTTCCCATCAGCAGCGCACAGGGGAAGGACCCATATTTTTAGTTATTTACAAATAATGAGTGAGAAACTAGCCAATTCCAGGCTGGGATTTTGAACATACACTCGGTTTAGTACCAGATTCCAGAATATTCCATCCTCTGAGGTTCTCTCTGCTGATTTTCAGCTACTGACACCTCCTCAGCCCAGCAGCAGTTTCCATGGTAACAGACTGAGTTTGTCTGGGTTGCTAAGGAACCAAAGAGCCCTGAGGAGGGACAGGCTGGAGCTCCAGTGTGCAGCCAGCCTAGGTGAGGGATGGGGAGGCTGGGGGGCCCTCATCAGTGGCTCACGCACATCCTCTGTGCTTGTCCTGCAACACATCTTTGCGCAAGGGCACAAAGTTGGCTCTGAGCCTCACAGGATCTAGAAAACCCCACATCTTCACACCAGAAGTGGCCGGGGACCTAAACATTCAGTGTCCTCACCATATCCTCCTCCCTTTTACTTATTCACTCAACAAACATGTATTGAGAGCCTGCTCTGGTAAGTCAGTGTGCCAGACCCTGGGACCACCATGATGAGAAAGACACAGATACGATGTTGATGGACAGCAGAATGTGCTGCCCCCAAATACGTCACTTTGGGACGTGGGTTATTTTTTGCTGCAGGCCCTTGGAAAAGAGCAAATGCAGGGAGGGGCTTTGTCTGGGCCCCTCAGCCACCTCAGTACAGATCCTCAATGTCATGACAGGAGCTCAACGTCATCAGTCCCTCCGGGGAGTTTCATCCCCCCGGAAAGACTGGCTCTTGTCACAGGAGGGGTGATCAGAAGCAGACACCACACCCAGAAAGACCGTCACAAACCATCACACCTCCTTTCCCCAAAATCATTTATTCTCCCCAAAAAGGCCCACATCCCCTGTCCCTCTCCCTATGGGGATGGTACGCAAGCCTGCATCCTAGGCCGCTCTGGGAGCTGCTTTCTGCCTGGGCGTCTCCCATGTATACGTGAGATGTACACCTTAACAACTTCTGTTTTATGCTTGTTAATCTGTCCTTCGTTACAGGGATCTCAGCCAAGAACTCAGAAGGGTGGAGAGAAAATTATCTTTCCTCCCTGCAATGTTTTCGTTTGTTCGTTTTGTTTTGTTTTTCTCTACAAGAGCCTGCTTGGAGATGCTTCCATTCGATAATTTATCCTACAGATGTTCACTGTAGGTCCACCCTGTGCTAGGCTATGTTAGCAAGAAGAGAAAGAAACACAACCCTCCTGGGAGATGGCAGTTATGGGGTGGGGTCATCCTTAGTCAAGTAGCCAGTGCCTGAGCAGTCCCTCACAGACCTTATTTTTTTATTTTTTTTATTTTTTTTAAAGATTTTATTTATTTATTTGAGAGAGAGAATGAAAGAGAGAGAGCACAAGAGCAGGGAGGGTCAGAGGGAGAAGCAGACTCCCTGCCGAGCAGGGAGCCCAATGCGGGACTCGATCCCAGGACTCCAGGATCATGACCTGAGCTGAAGGCAGTTGCTTAACCAACTGAGCCACCCAGGCGCCCTTATTCAAATGCATCCTTGGAATGTTCTACAGCTTGATTGTGGTGTTGTACCCAGGTGCCTACATTCATCAAAACCCGTTAGTTGCATGCTTACAACAGGTGCCTTTTGCTGTATGTACATTACACACCGATAAGTTGATTTTTTAAAAAAATGCATTTTGGGGCAGGGTCAGAATTTTACTATTTGGGTCTCTGTGGACTCCTAAGAAATCCCAAGTGTCAAAAAAAAAAAAAAAAAGCCACTGATAGAAGCAGCATCTTCTGACCACTCATCCGCGGACTGGGAGGAGCCCTATGGCTCTAGGGACGGACTCCTATGCATCGTACCTGCCCCAGGATGACTTCAGGGGAGACGGGGGCTCGGTGAGTCAGATGAAGGAGATGAGTGGAATCAGTCGGTTTGCATATGGCAGGCTGTTATTCTCCTTCAGAATTGGGTCGCTGGGGAAGGCTGTCTCTCCTCTAAGTCCCAGCCCCCCCACCCCCCAGATACCAAAACATCCTAAGACACCGAAAGGTAAAAACCATAATTAATGTAGGTGGATCGACGGGTCAGTGGGCAAGCAGGTGGGTGGGTCAGTGGATGGACGGATGAGTTCAAGTGCCAACTGTATAGATTTCCACCCCCAAAATGGGAAGAAAATTGCAAGTACAAGTAGAAATGAGGTGCGTGACATCCCTCCCCCAGCACAGGGTGACTCCTTGCAGCCCAGGTACTCCTTCATTCAAAACATTTATTAAATTCCTGCTGGGCCACGATTACTAGATCACACACAGTCTTTAGCCACCTTCTGGAACATTCCAGGTTCTCTGGATCCCTTCCGTCCCCTCCTCCCCACTGCAGCCGTTTTCATGGCAACAGCCTCGGCCAATCACCGCTGAAGGAGAAGAAGCTGGCTTGCCGACTTCCAGCCAGGGTCCCCAGGGATGGGAGAAGTAGCATAAACTCGGGAGGCTGCCCATCGCAACGCAAAGGGAGTCGAGTGTGTGGGATGGCACAGAAGCCATACCCTCCCAGAGCTTCATCTAGCAGGAGACACAGGAAGAGAGCCAGGGGTGAGAAACATCAGGAACAGAGCAAGGGTGGAGGGTGGGAACAGGGAAGGGCGTGGGGGGAGGGGAGCGGAGGAGGGAGGACCCTGCTGAAGTGGTGTCTGAGCGGACTTGAAATAAGAGAGCAGGGGAGGCTGGAAGTCCAAGTGAGGACCCTCTTCCCGGCTTGCCCATGATCGCCTTTGGGCTGTGTCCTCACTCCATGGGGAGAGAGTGCTCTGGGGTCTCCTCCTCTTCTTCCAAACACCACTGATCCCACCCTCATGACCTCATCTAAACCTAATCACCCCCTCAAAGCCCACATCCCAGTACCAGCACACTTGGGGGGTTAGGGCTTCAACATAAGTTTTGGGGGGATGCAATTCAGCCCATATGGGTACCTTGGGAGGACCAGGAAAACTCAGTCCTGAATTTGGTTTGGGAGTCGTCCTCACCCGCCAACGCAAATATGAAGCGGAACACAAATGAAAAGGCAGCTTCATCCTGAGCCTCAAAGGATCTCCACAAAGGAAGTGACCTGCACGTGAAGAAG